TCCTCCAGGACTTGGTCCCCAACCCTACTCTCAGCATGTATAGATGGTGGGCAGGGGCGGGAAGGACACTCATTTTACAGCCATCACATGGCATTTTACAAGCCCCTTGCCATGAAGCAGTCTCCTTCCAACTGGCCCCTGAGGACTTTGTGGTGGGTCCCACTGTCCCTCGTGTGGGAAGCATCCCCATTCTGATGGCTCGCTATACCAGGCAGGTAATGTGCAGCAGCGTGGGTTCTTAAAATGTGAAGTCAGTTAAAAATTATTTTATCTGCGACAAAACGCATCCTGGAGGCTGGGAGCTCTGCCGTACTCTAAGAGAAGGAGACTTTGTACCTGGGTCTTGAAGGACAAACTGAGTAGACAGGGGGTCAAGTGGGGTATGGGGACAGTGCACTAGGCAGAAGGAGCAACAGTGGTAAAAAGCCCAGAGGAGCACAGAGGGCCAGGGAGGAGCTGTTGGGGCCAGACATTTACAGCAGCGGGACCTTTGCGGCACCTCAGCCACCTTCAACTCTTCGAAAACTGTTCTTTGGGCGCCACCTGGTGGCAGGTTTTGATCTGAACAGGGCAGAAACAACCTGCTAGAGTCAACGGTGCCCATCCCTCTCCCTGGAACAGACCCTTCCTTCTTCCTGCCCCGCCCCAGAAATGGATTTGCTGTAAAAGTGACATAATAAGAGCCAAGGTGAATTTTTTACTTAAAATCTGATTTTCCAGTTAGCAAATCAATGTCTTCTCACTGTAGAAAATTTCATACCTGAATGTTAGTGTGTGTGTGTATTTATGTTCATATACATGTATGAGGGCTCAATTGTATTTAAACATATGTTGAGTCTTTTGTGGACAAAGGGTTGGTATGGGGTTGTGCAGTGCTTGGGATCCAGGTGCTAATGTCAGATCATCCTGAGTTAGAATCCTGATGTTTCCTTTCCCAGCTGTGTGCCTTGGGCGAGTGACTTGTCTTCTCTGAGTAGGAAGTTCCTTCATCTGTAAAATATGGGTCTTAATGGAACACATCCCAGAGCTGCAGTGGAGATATAAGACACAGTATATGCAAAAGGCTCAGGCCAGTGCCGGGCACAGAGGTGACTTGCCAATAGTAGACCACCGCAAACCTTGTCTTCTTGATTCTTACCAAAAATCTGTAGAAAGGAGATTGATTCCGGGGTTCAAGGACATGAAGAACCTCAAGGCTGCTACAATTTGCTAAAATTGAGAGGAAAATTTCAAGCAAGAGCTGGAGTCTCCGGCACCACAGCTGTTCTCATTTGTCTCTGTATTCTTCCAGGCCTTCCTCGGGCAGAGCAGTTTTTAGGCATTGTAATTACAATGCCTGCACCCGTTCCCTTCATGCTATGACACTGACGTTTTCCTTGGTGGCTGAAGCTGTCATTGACAGCCTTTGCCACAATTTCCTTAACCGTTTCCTCAGTGTTGATTATCTAAGTAGTTTAATTTTTCATTCATTCATTTGAGAAATATTTCTTGAGTGCCTGCTCTCTGCCAGGCACTAGACTAGGCATTGGGATATCGTGGTCCACAGAACAGTGAGCTCCTTACTTCTGGTTGGTGGGACACACAGGAAAGAGCCCACTGTAAGCCGCAGTGAGCTGTGAGGGACAGGGCGCATCTGGAGAGACACTTCACACAGTTGCGTATCTCAGGTCGGTAATTCCAGTCCTGCATCCTAACTTGCTCTGCTTCTCAGCAGCCACAGCTGATGCTTCTCTTGGAATAATCACATATGGGGTTGGATTTCCTGCCAACACATTTTGGGGGTTCCCGAGAAGTCATGGGGTACCACGACATTTAAAGCTCTGACAATCGAGCTCAAGTTGGCCTTGTTTCCTGTAGCCCTTCCTCCAAGGCATGTGTTTCAACCAGTCCAGTCTGCTCCCTGCACCCCTGAAGAGACTGCGTCTTCCTCTCACATCTACTCCCTGTGCCCCCTCTCAGGACAGGAACTCCTTTACCCCTGGAGCCTTTGAACCAATGGGCAAAATCACCCCACCTGGTGGACACAACCTGGATAGGCGAGCTGGTGGGCAGAGCCTTGGCAGATCTCCACCCCCAGACTGGAGCAGCCCTCCCCACAGCCTCTGCAATGCCCACCCCACCCCAGCCCGCCTAACTCCTATTTGCCTCATTCTTACTCCATCCTGAAGACTCAGCTTATGCCCAGTGTCTTATGTGGAGCCTGGTCTGGCAAATTCACAGTAAATTCTCCATTCCTTGAACTCCTAAATAACTTTTGCTTTTTACTCTTTGCCTTGTTTGGCACTTAATTATATGCTGCATTGAGGTTCATTTGTTTATTTGTTTTTCTGTCTTATGTCAATTATTTCGTCAGAAAAGTTCTGATTTACATAGAGTAGAGGCATCTCTTCAGATATATAATATACACTGATCATGGAAGAAGAAGTGGGCAGAGTTGTAGGCAGGAACGTTCTGGGCAGAGGGAAGGACCATCTGCCAAAGGTCCTATTTAGAAGAGGTCTTGGGACATAGGCCAAAATATCTCTATGTGGAGGCTTTTTCCAGAGTTGACAAGTTGAAAGTAACTCATTAATTGGTGCATTTATCCTTCTGAGGACCACTGTGTTGTAGCTCCAAGAGAGGGGAATATAGAGATAAACCAGACCAGATTGGTCCCTGTCCAGACCAATGGAGGAGGCTGAGATGGTTTCTCTAGAGACCATGTGGAGGGTTACCAGCTATGCTGACAGGGGAAAGAACTATTTTTGCCTGTGGGATTTGAGAAAAGCTTATGGAAGAGGAAGGCATTCAAGCTGAGTCTGAATTTCCAGGTAGAGATAAAAGAAAGAGAGGTCCAGGCAGAGGCAACAGTTGCATGAAGGCATGGAGGCAAAGAGAAGGGGGTTATTGCAGAAGTGGTAATTAGGAAGGCTCTTTTAGGGCAATTAGCATGATTGGGTTTTATTCCCCAAAGATGGGGCAGTTTCTTTGCAGGCAATTTGCAGGTCTAGCTGAAGTGTGGAGAACGCATCAGGGTTTGATGGAGACTGGAGACAAGGAGGCCCATGAGGAGGCTGGTGCAATGGTTCACCCTAGTGGCAGAAACCTGAACTGGGGCAGTGGTCATAGGGAAGGGTAAGAGGAGAAAGATGGGAGTAAGATTTCAATATAAAACCTATGGGATTTGGTGACAGCCTGCTTCTAGGAAGTCAGGAGAGGGATGTTAAGATTCAGCAACATTCAAGGATGCCTGAACGAAGGTGGTACCATTCTCTGAAACCAGGGACACCAGGAGGAGGGTCAGGATTTGGGGGAATAGGGTGTGGATGCAGATAGGAGATTGTGAGGGCTTTTCCTTGGTACCACGGACAGCTCCAAGGGTCTTCAAAGGTCTTGAAGTAGACTCTATCCATGGCTCTTGACCTTGGCTGCCTTAGAATCAGCAAAGAAACTAATTTAACCTTCAGACTCACAGGCTCATCCAGATGCTCTGCATCAAAATCTCTGGGGGTGGGTTCAGAAGACTGAATTCTAAATAAGGACCCCAGGTCACTCAGTGCAGGTGGTCAGAGGAGAAAGCCATCGTGGCCTCCACAGGAAGAGAGAGGAGCACCCCCACAGGGGGGCTTGGGCCTTTTAAGATTCTGATTGTACATTTCAAGGCATTTTATTCACCAAGTAAAATGCTAGACCAAAGTAAAAAAGACTCCTGGAGAGATCAGTGAGGAAGAGGGCCTCCTTCCTCCATGACTTCTGTGTTCTTTCCATCCCAGTTCAGAATGTGGCAAAGTTCACTCATGGATAGTTGTGGTCATTCTGTTGTCATCCTGGTGTGTCGTTGCACCTTTCCAACCCCATTTCCTAAAAACCAAACCAAATTAAAGCAAATGTGGCTCTTTTCTTGGATTGGCTTTAAAAGTACATGCCAACCCAGGGACTCAAACCAACATTGTCCACCAATGATAATGACAGTATAATTCCCAATAGCTAACTAGTGGAAACAACACAAATGTCCATGTACAGATGACTGGATAAAAATAATATGGTATATGCATACAGTGGAATATTAGCCTTAAAATAGAATGAAATTCTGATGCATGCCACTACAAGAATAAATCTGGAGGACATTATGCTAAATGAAACAAGGCAATGTTTCCGCTTGGGTGAAGTACCTAGGGTAGTCAATTTGATCAAGAAAGAAAGTAGGATGGTGGTTGCCAGGGGCTGGGGTTGGGCGGAATGAGGAGCTGTTATTTCATAGAGAAGGAGTTTCCCCCTGGGAAGAAGTAGTACTTCTAGTTGATTGATGGTAGTGATGGCTGCACAACCATGGGAATCAACTGAAAGTCAATGGATTGCATATTTGAAATGGTTAAGAGGTAACTTTTGTTATCTATCTTTTACTACAATAAAAAAGGGACATAACAAGTAAAAGGAGTTGTTGATGTCCTCAAGTGGACTGAGAATCTGTAGGGCTTTTCCACTCTGTTGGAAACTCCCCGAGAACAGATCAAGGTATTTCTGCTATCAATCTGGGGGCGCTCACAGGACTAGAAAAGGGCGTCTTCCAGTGGAACTCTTGCTGCTATGTAACTGGGGTCTGGACTTGTTATATCCCTCACTAGATGAGATGTTCCCATGCTGGATTTCACCCGGGACGGGAGGGAGGAGAAGGGGACCAGGAGTTACCCCAGTGAGTGTGACTGTGCCTGAGCGGGTGGGAAACTGAGGCTCTTGTTGGAATTAGATGTCTCTCCTCCCTAGTCCCGGGAGCCCCACGTGAGCTCGACGTCTTTCCACCCTCAGTTTCATTTCCAGCCTGTGCTCCGAACGCTCAAAAACCTAGAGAGTCCCTTGGGTGTGCCGGCCAGGGCAGCTAGTTGCCCTTTTCCAAGATGGCCGCCGGTGCCTCTGTGACAGGCCTGGTCACGTGTGCAACCTCGCCTATGAGGTCGCCGGGGCCTGGTCGGCGATTGTCCCTTCCCGGGTCCCGTCGGGAGGCGGTGACTGCCCTTGTCAACCTGAGCCTGAGCGATCATGGCAACGGGCTCGGGCGGGGAGCGGTTGGCAGTGGCGGCAGCAGAGGCAGTGGCGGCAGCTTGGTCGCGGGCCTGGGCGGCAGAGCGGCGGCGGCGGCGGTGGCACTGGCACCGGCACCGACCCTGAGCGCCATGCGGCGAGGCAGCTCCAAGAGGGAGCTGGCGGCTCAGTCGGAGGTGGAGGCGGTAGCCGCGGCCAAAGCAGAGACTGAGGCCAACGCGGGGGTGACGGCCGGACAGACCGGCGTGGACTCGGGCGCGGCCGGGGAGCCCGAGAGCAAGGCCGGGGAGCAGCAGTCCCAGGCCCCGGGCCCGGGCCCGGAGCAGCCCTGCGCGGAGGAGGGGGATGCCCGCGTTCCCCCGCGGCGGCCGCCCACGCTGCACGCGCACAAGCCGAAGCCGGCGCGGGACCTCTGTCCACACGGGAAGCCCAGGGTCAAGGGCTCAAGCTGCAGGCGGAGTGTCCGCCGTCCAGAGGAGCAGAGCTCACAGCGGCCAGTCACCGTGGACAGCTCCAAGGCCAGGACCTCCCTGGACGCCTTGAAGATCAGCATCCGCCAGCTCAAGTGGAAGGAGGTGAGGCCCGGCCCCGCTGCGTGGGCACAGGGGGGTGGACAGGACGACTGCAGAGGACCCGGCATGGCTCAGGCCCGGTCGGCAGGCCAGGGCAGAGCGCCTGCCGCGTGCCACGCTGGGAACCCGCTTGTCAGCTGCAAAATGCTCATCCTCTAGGTCAAGTTAGCCACTCCCTCCTTTGGCTCCCCTACACCTCTTTATGTCTCCAGATGTCAGCCTTGGCCTCCTCATGCTTGTTTATAAGTCTGGGGCCAGGGCCTTCTCTGTTTCATTTGTTTAGTGCTTACTATGCAAGTATTGGGGATGGTAAACAGTTTGTAGTCTCCAAGCAGAAAGACCTAGGGTCTCCCTACACCTTGCTACTTAGTTGTGCAGTTGTGAGCAAGTGGACATTCCTCTTTAGACCATTACCTTCTCTGTTAAGTGAGGCCAATGCCAGCAATACCAATCTCATTGTTTTGTTAATATTAGAAGACTTAATGTCTACTGTATAGCACATAAGTATCTTATAAATGTAACTTCTAACACTTTTTCTCTTCCTCCACCACCATCATGATTATCACCACTGTCATCAGAGCAGGCCCTGTGTTTTATGATTCAGAACTTGCCATATGGCAGTTGTCAGTAAGTGGTGGATGAAAGGATGACTAAAGAGATGACTTACTCATCCTTGAACCCATTTTAGACCTGTTGGGGTCTGGGGTAAAGCACCATGACTTTCAGAGTATGCTATTGCAGTTGGCTGATTGAATTAAGCCATTTGCCTTTATTTGAGTCATATGGGCTATTTAATGTGTTTTCAGGAGTGTTAGTATTTTGGTTTAGGACAGTTGAACCAGGAGACTTATACCAATCTATTTAACAGGTTAACAGGTTTGTAGTGGGCAACACAAAGTCTTATGTACTTAGCTTTGTGCCTTGGCTGTGGTAGACTTTCAGTAATGGTTCATGAAGTTGGAGCCTGCAGAGAGATGGCCACAGAGAGGATCAGTGTGATCAGAGGGTGGATGTCTCAGTAGGAAAGACTCATTTAATTTGGAAGAAAGTCAATTATCAGGCAGGGGAGTCTTTCAGGTAGGTAGGGGTCATCACTGGGCAGGTCTGGCTGCAGGTGTCTGGGCCCTAAACCTTGGGACATGCAATTTAGGAGAGGACTTTTATGCCCAGGACACCTAGGGAAAGTAAGGACAGGCTCCTAGTTTGAGAATATCTGGGTTTCTAGACAAGGACCCAGGTCCAGGCGAGAGATAGGAGGGTCAGAAATGTAAAACTGAACTTGTCAGGATCACGGACCTACTAAAGAGTGAATCCAGGGACAGAAACCCAGCCACAGAATCAGGTTAGGCAAACTGGTCCACGCAGGGCCTTTGCTTAGCTTAGCCCTGTGGGAGGCAGACACACAAAATGGGCTAGATCTGTTCATTAGGCCAGATGGGCTCAGCCAACCAGCCCGGGTTTATTTGTTCATTCTGTAAATGCCCACGATGCAGTGCTAAGCTCTGTGCTGGATCCTGGGAGTCACGCTTAACATAAAAACCTTGCCCTCAAGGACCTTAGAGTTCAGTGGGGATATAAAACACAAATAAGACATAATTGTAGTAACCACAGGGCCGTTGTTGCTGCTTCCTGAAATGCTGGTTTCCCGTTATTTGCACAGCTTACTCTGTCACTCTTTCAGACTTCTGATCAAATGCCACCTCCTCCAGCCCTTGCTCTTGTTTATTTTTTCATAGCACCAAACCCTGCCTGACATTGTATTATGTATTATTTGTTGATTGTCTGTTTCCCTCACCAGAATGTAAGCTCCACGAGGGCAGGGGCTTTGTTTTGTTTGCTGCTGTAAATGGAGGTGCTTGGCACATGGAAGTTGCTCAATAAATTTTTGTTGAATGGATGAATACATTATGTGACGAGTGTTTCTCTCTCTCTCTCTGTGTGTGAAGGTGTCAGTACTGTGAGAGGCAGAGGAGGCCACCCGTGAAAGGGCTTCCTGGACGAGGTTAACTGCTGCTGAGTCCTGAGAGCTGGAAACGAGCCAGAGTTATTTAGGGCAGTGGACTTGGGGTCCCTGGTGAAGAGAGTGGTACAGGCGAAGCAGAGGCACATTTGGGACTTGGCATGTAGTTCCGTCTGGCTGGATCACCAGGTGGGAATTGGAATGGTGAAAGATGAGGCTGCAGAAGTGAGCAGGGGCCAGATGCTATGGGATTTGGACTTTTTCTTGGAAGGAAGCCGTGTAAACCACCGTAGGATTTTAAGGTTCTTCCATCCACCAGCTTTGCTACTTCCGGCAAGCGAGTTAAACTCTTAAGGCCTCAATTTGTTTATTCTGTTCAATGCGGGTGGGGAGAGCAAGTTTAGTGGTTCCCAGCCTCTCCAGTGCTGAGGCTTCATAATGATAGTGTTACCCTACATGAGCTTGGTGAGCCCAGTAGGGGGCTGGCGGTTTCCAGAGCCTTAACTGTAACTGCCCCCTCCACCTAGGTCTATCTTCTCCCACTTGGAAAGATATTTTACATAAGTGGAGAAGCTCATTCTAGCACATTTGAACATAACTCAGCAATGAATAGATTTGTGATTGCACACTTAAATGTCTCTCTTTCCAATTAGTCTGTGAGGTCCTGAGGGGAGGGGAGGTGTCTGACTTGTGTCCCTAAAGCACAGCACATTGTAGGTGTTCAAAATGTTCATCAGATGAATGTGGAATACCTGCAGCAGAGCTCATGTGTCATCTGATTCCTTAGAATGGGGAGTTTGAGAAGTGCCAGCTTAGATGAACTTTGAAACTCCTTCCAACTTTAAACAAACATTATAGTATTCTTAGTACCCATTAAAAAGTTGACCATATGACAAGTAATGTAGTAAACCTGCTGCTAACAAGATGGAAACACGTGACCTCCCTGGGCCATGGTTCCCCCATGTGTTGTGGGGTGATGTTGGGCAAGATCGGCTCCAACTCCCAGCACTAATGTTCTCGGAGCAAGAACTTCTACTTGGGGCTGGTGTGCAAGGAATGGAGCAGCAGTGTCCCCTACCTGTCCTGCAGGGCTGGGGAGTCCCTGCTGGCTGGCTTTGGTGGGGCTGGGTGGGTAGCCCAGGTAAGAAATAAGATCACAACCACTAACAGAGTGAAAACTTCATCTCCTCTTGTGGGTGTGTAGTGAGAAGCCGTACAACATGGTCCACTCAACAGGGGGACGCTGAGCCAGCATGTGAAATCAGAAGTCTGTTCAGTTGCTGGGCACAGCCTCCCTTCTGTTTTAAATTTTCTTTATTGTATACATGGAACAGCAATGACAAACACTATGGTGGGACCTTTATTTACCTCTTACTCTATCAGCTGCTGTTCTTAGTGCTCTACATGCAGACAATTATTTGATTCTTCCATAACCCAATAAATTTAAGTGCCTTATTATGTCCATTTTACAGATGAGAAAATTGAGGTTCACAGAGGTTAACTTACCCAAGGTGTATGGCTAGTGAGGGCAGAGCCAACATTTGAAACAGGTATTACATTTGGACCCAGGCTTCAGCCCTGTGCTCTTCCCACTACTCCCTGATGGCTCTCTCTTTATCTGCAGAACCCTGGTAAGGGGCTACAGATACAGGAGCTCCCAGTGTAGAGAGAGGGACAGACCTGCAAACATACAATGACAGTTCCTTCTGGAAGATGAATGGACAAAGGGCTTCCCATGCAAAGCGGCAACAAAGGCAGGAGGGTGGATCTGGTTTTTGATGCAGAATGGGTTGCTTGGCGGTTTCGGGAGCATGTGGACAGTAGAGAGACGAAGAAGCAGCCAGATCAGATTCCAGAGCGCATGGCAGCCGCGCCAAGGAGTCAGCATTGCTGCCGACTGCATTTGCTCACAGACTTCTTGCCATATATAGACCCAGCTTCCCTTGCCCACTCTCCTTCAGTCCCAAATGAACCATGCCACCCTCTGATGATTCATGCAGGACAGATGTAATTCAGCTGTATTCACAGTGTTAAATTTGTTTCTCAAAGGGAAAATTTACAGATGCCAGACTTGTAGATAAGAATAAAGTTATTTTTAAATAGAAAAGTCCTGTGTACAAAGTCACCACTGAAATTGCAATGAGAAAAAGAGTGATGGCTCCTGATTCCTAGTTCAGGCTGCTTGCTCCTATAATTGTACGGTCCTCTTCCAGCCAGGCCCACCTCTCTCCCTGTATCCTGCATAGACACCCTAGAGAATAGATGCCACTGTTGCTGTGAGCTAACCTCCTTGGAGATTAGGTTGTGTGTGCACAGTGGTGCCATGGACACCAGCTTATATGAATGAGGGCTCTGAGGGACTTGATAGTGGGTCCTTTGTTGACAGTTTGCATAAGCCCCTGTCCTGAGGTCTCTGATGGTATGAGTTCTTTGTTTCAGAGACTCCAAATCATGTGTTGTATTCTGGAACTGACTCAGCCTTTCCTCTGACATTGCACAATTACTGTATCATCCCACTTACCAGTTATGCAATATTAATTTATTAATAATATGTGCTCGGCATAGCACTAAGTGCTTAATGCTCACCAAAAATTGTGTTGAGCATCTATTATGGATTATGTTGTTTCATTCTCACAGCTGCCCTCTGAAGCAGATCCTATTATGTCCAATTTATAGATGAGGAAACTGATATTAGAGAGAGGCTGCTAAAGGGCTACCCAAGGACACACAGGTAGCAAGTGGCAGAGCTGTCTGGGGCCTGAGCTTGTAGCCAGTATATAATCTATAGCATCTTCTTTGATAATCCTTTGCTAAAAACCGTCTTGCAAGGAGTTATGCTACATCATCATCATGAACATGATCATCACCATCATCATCATCTTCATTCCCAGGTAATAATTGAAGCAGGTCCAGCAAGTAAGTGTGAGTGAGGGCTCAAGCCTCACGCTCTTTTGCTCGAAAGATTTTTAATAATCCTCCATTTCTTAACCTCATCCCTCATCTGACTCACACCTCTTAAATGACAGAGGAATGACAGGGAGTC